TGGCCGACAAGTTGGCGACACTGATTCTACTATTTTTTGGTCGAGCATCAGCTAAATGACGACTAACGTAAATTCAACGACTTTTGCTCCTTGTTCCATACTCGAACTCAAAGATTTCTAATTCATCTATATAACTCTTAAAAGATTCCTTAACTTTTACAACTCTTTTATAACAATCATATTATTTTATAATAATCATTTTGTTTAAAGAATTTGCAATACAACTAAAAACCTAACAGACAGTATTTTCAACTAATCTAGATTAGTCCGTAATTTGAATTTTGTCCACTTTTTAGTGTATTTATCAATTTTTCCCAATAAAATTTTATACAAAACAAGACCAAGTGGATTGATCAGAATTTGGTGAAGGCCTATTTATCATCAACACGTCAATACTGAGAATTACACATTGTGTAATTTGTTAATTAAAAAGTGACACATTATGTGACTTTTTTAATGCATAACAAATAGCAAAACAAAAAAGAACTATAAAATAAGCTCATCTCAAAATAAGCACAAAAATCGCATATTACTCAATGTTCAACCTCAATTACAACATTCTATTGAATAATTCAAAACAAAATTGGAAAAAAAAAAAAAAAGAAGCAAAATCCTAAAATCTCAAATACATAAGCCTCTTACTGAACAAATTTAAAAGTCATAAGTATTTTATTTTGTCAAGTTTTGAGTTTGAGGATCGAGGTTTGGGTTTTTGTTTATGGCATGATTGATACGGTTTTACTGGTAATTAAAGCATAACTAATAGTATCGCCTAACTTTTATAGTAAATGTTTCAAAATAGTCCAAATTTTAAGGGTCATTCTCAAAAGTCCCCCTTTTGAACTAAATGATCGAAAATTCAGCGAAGTTATTTGCTTGACGAGAACAAATATTTTATATTTCGCTGGAAAAAGAATTCTTTGGTCAGAATTCGGTAGTCCTAAGGTTGTTAGTTGTATGTGTTAAGGGCTTTTGATTGGTGGGCTTCTATGAGAAAGACACTGCACGGGCCTAAATTACTGGGCCGGAAATAAAAAAGCCCAGATATGAAGTAGAAGGAGAAACACAGAAACAAAAAGCGGGAAATTGAACCCGACGTGAATCGAACACGCAACCTTCTGATCTGGAGTCAGACGCGCTACCATTGCGCCACGGATCCACTTGCTGCTAAGTTCCAGTAAATCTTAAATAACATTAAGACGAACAGAATTGACAATTTTACAACACCCAAAAATCCATTTGAATCCTAGACGAGATCTCAACCTTAAATTTCTATTTTGCAGAAGTTTTCTTAATGTAAGTTCTTATTACTTACTTTCATTTCTTATCTCGGAGTATCCTTAAAAAATAACATTTCTTGATGGAACAATAACTTATCGGTTCAATCTTCAATATTAGTCGGTCCAAACCGTTGCTTACTTTTACGAAGCTTCAGTTCAATAATGCGTAGATCTTTGAATACTTGTAGCTCCTCCAAAACATTTTGATAAAAAATGATTTGATCGATTATAAACAACAATCAAACGAGATAGGCGGAATTCGAACACCATTCAACAAAAAATTATAAATACAATCAATGCGTCATTTGTTCAAGAACTTGTTCCATATTATCTTCCCATAAAAATATAATAGCTGTGACACCTATTGCATCGTAACTTTTGCAAGATGCAACTTCTTGAGTTGAAGTCTTTTTTCTTTTAACAATTATGTTGCTTGTATAATTTTCTTACAGCTTCACATTTGACAGGTATATCACATCCGTCTATTTTAAAAACTGTTTTAAATCAATGACACAGATTTTGACAGCTCACTAATTGTACAACTAGATTAATTTTTCTTTTAATACCAACCAGGATCAATCCATTCTACATTATTTGCACGCGAAATTTATTTCAAGTCAATCATGCAACTTGTACAATCTCTTTTAAAATCACGTTGATATCACATTCATTCATGTTAAAAATTATTTTTTAAATCAATTGTCCAAATTTTGACAACATCAATGTTGTCAACCACAATTATCAACAACAATTGTACAAATAATTTAAATCATTCAAGGTTTTCTTTCAGAGGAAATTAGCGGGGAGGATAAGAGAAAAAGAAAAAGAAAAAGAAAAAGCGGCAAAGTAAATTTCTTTGCAAAACTTTTAACTTTAGAATATTCCTACAATACTGTTCTTCCATTTAACACTACTTTTCAGCTTTAGTGCCAGCTTTTCCCCATTTCTGCGTCCTCAAGCAATTGAAGTCATCAGACACGTCAGCGGTGCAATGNGGTCAACTCCTATGTCAAGCATTATGTTTATTTAACTTAATTCTTTTTTATCTACCCACCCAAACACCCAGTCGCCCCAGTTATCACCTCACCCACCCCATTTCATATAAATGATTTCTTTTTTATTTTTGTTTCAATTTTCGAGACTATTACGAGAATATCAAACGAAGTCAAAATATTATATTTTTAATATTATTTCAAAGTGCTCACGATTTAGTTTCCTCCATCGCTAACAACGTGCAAAATGACCAACCGTACCAAAAGTTATCACTCGTCAAAGTAGGTCTTTCCAAAATATATTGACGATTTTTTAAAATTTTGTCTCAATTTTTGGGATTATTATGGGATTTTCAAAAGAAATCGAAATATTGTATTCTTAATACTATTTCAAAGTGTTTACGGCCAACCTTTCGACTTCTTTTGATAAATTTATTTATATAACGTTAATAAAGTATTGGTTGGAAAGATAAATTGTTTTTAAACTATCCATGACAAGAATATTGTCACAAACATTGTACACCAAACATGATTGATATTTACGAGGTATGATATGGATTTTCTCTAAGGATTGGACTTTTTTTTTTTTTGATGTAGGAACCTGCAGCCGCTACGCGCCAACGGAGTCTCGACCACCCTGAAAGGGGCGGAGGCTCGACCATTGTGAGTGCTAACTAGATAAACCTCATTCCATGTACAATAGCCCACAAACCACACAGAAGAGGTAAACTGCACTCGGCAAGTCTGGTGCGACGAGCTCGACTGAGGAAATGTTGGCAGAGGATTTGAACTCGTAACCTTTGATCTTCACGTTCACCTGCTCCACCAACTCGACCACCCCGAAGGGGTAAGGATTGGACTTTTGAGTTTGTGAAAGAAAGTCAAAAGACGATGGATGAAAGGCTGTCCCAAAATAGACGGTTGGGCAGGTGAGCTAAATCCATTGGCTAACTATAGAAAATAGCCATATTTAGCAAAGAGGCATATTTTATTGGGCTCTTTTTGCAGGAATTCTTGTCTGGGAATGCCAAGGAACTAAAAACGAAGACAAGAACATGGACATATACGGCACCGAGGGGCTGTCTTGGGCCGATCAGTGGGGCCCGGAACCGCTGCCACCTGCATCAGAGGATGACAACAAGAAGAAGAAGAAAGATGACAAAAGCAAGTCGGGAAAGAAGATATTGAGCCTGAAATGGGTGAAAAATCTCTGCAAGAAATCTCAAAAATAACGATAATTTCTTCTTTCAGAAGCCCCTTTGAGATGTGGAATGGCTTAATTACGGTATCTGTAAGCCTTTATATCATCTTATATGTTTCAACATTAACGGTTATGGGTGTTTTATATTTTGTTCTGTAACAGGTCGACGATGAATTACCTTTGTAGCGTTCTTTTGTAATTTATGTAAGCTTCAATATTAACATTATGCGCTCTTCTGAATATCCATGATTTGATTGAACGGATACTTTAAAATGATAATGTTTCACTTAATTTTACAAGTTTCGCATTAATTGTACGTTGTATTGATGGCAAAGTCATAACTGTAACGAATCATACTTGTTGCATAAACATTCTCCTGCACGTTTTACGACATTTAGTCGAGCTGATGTTAATTTTTAGTTTTTGAGTAATTAAACAATTATCATATCTTCGGTTGAGATTGAAATCAATATTTTTTGACAATTTTAATTCAAATTATCGTTACTTCATCAATGTGTACAACAAGCATTTTCCTTCTACTTTTGAGGCCTACAAAATGGCTAATCCAAGTAATGAAACATCATGAAGGGAATACCATACACATGCCCAATCAAGAAGCAGCAGAGCTCCAGATATATTTTTCAACTTCTTTTTCATCTTTAGTACTGCTCCGTCTCCATTCCATGTACCAAACAAGATATAAGTATATATTATGGACGAGACAATATATAATTTCCCTTTTGCAAAACAAATAAGCTAGAAAATGCTTTAAGAATGCGTAACCAAGAAAATCGAGTTTACATGCCTCGTTCAGCAAGAAAATATTATACTTTGTATAACAGGATACTATGTAACTGTCGTTTATAACAATCAAATCAGAAAATAACGGAATACAGAATCCGCCAAGGGGCTGCAAAGAGCAGCCATCTCCGTCTGAAACGATTATTAGACATCCCAGAATCCAGACCAAAGCAGGAAAGATCCTGCAAAAATTTCCAATTCCAACAAATCTTTCAATTATCACAACATGAACATATCCTCAAACATCTCAGATTCCATAGACTTAAGCTTCAAGACTCGGATAGTCAAATCACAGGCACCAAATAAATTGATGGCCTGCACCTGGAAGGGAAGATGCGACTTTCAGAAGCACGAATGACAAACCTATTGATGATAAAATACCATTTGTCCAGAATAAAATATGCTCGAAGAGTACATAATTTGACATTGTCATCATTTTCCTATAGTTTCGTGAAAGCATACTTCACATTTTCTTTTTATTTTTTCCCTTTTCTTTTTGTGTTTTCTTCTTTTAAGTTTTTTTTTTAATTTCCTTTTTTTGCCTTCTTGCTCCATAAATATCATACTCTGGAACTGCAAGATCAAATGGTCTTCCAGACTTTCATCTCCTAGAGACAGACATCTGACCTAAATAGATAAGCAACATCCCCTGCCCACAAAGGCTGGAATTAGAACTCGGCATGTGTGCAGTGCCATCCTTGGAACAGCATTTTTGTCCAGTTTATCTCAGTAGTTATCTGGCTGCTGCTTAAAACAGCCTGAGCAGATCAATTCCAAACAGAAATTTTCTTCATATTCAGTGTTGTTAAAGCACCGGCCACACTGCACGCATCTCGATATACAAAGTGTACATGCCCTGCAGACTCGAGCAGCATGATCTTCAACCTGACAGCCCTTGGCTGTACAGTCATAAATGAGCCTCAGTTTTTCACATCTCGGGCACATTTCAATATCAATTGCCCGATCATCATCACACAGAAGATAAAAATTTCCCCGATGATAGAAGTGTGGTTTGTAATGATTTTGGAGCTTGTCGTTATCAGCACCGAGTAATAGTTTCAACACTTCAAAATGTTCAAGTGTCACCCCATATAGCCCACCAATTCTCAGGTGCTTTATACCTTGGACACCTTTAGCAGAGTTGAACACCTTGAGATTATTTAGAATACCTTCAATAGTAAGCCTTGTACATCCAGGAACACACAGCTGCAGGAAATAATAAAACTTAGTGACTCGTGTAATCTACAAACGATGTAGAATATCAGTATCTTGCAGTTCACCAGAAAGTAAGAGCATAACTAAGAGCACAACTGGGGCTACAATTACGTAAAAGTATCCACTAGAGACCGCTTCAAGAAAAAGGATGGGAAGTGATGGGTGACAAGAACTTCCACAATTCCACCAAATTCATTCATTGTAAAATATTCCATCCATGAAAATATCATCGCCATGGGTAGATTCTTAATCTATGATATTAACAAATGATAACAAACTATTATGGATTTGACTTACATCTTATAGTAAATTAAGAATCACTAAATTAGGTAACATGTATTTGAAACTATTTTAAATATTTCGTCACGTCAGTTTTATTATTTCCTGCAGCTGTGTTCCAGGAACACATTAACATAAATGTAGTCTTCAACACACACCCTCACTTCCAGCCGGATTCATTTAATGCATGACACATGACAATTTATAATACATGGTGAAACCAGAACCCAGGTCGTTATCTTCATCTTCACATGTCATACAATCACTATTTCTTCTATTCTATTTGCTATCCTATCCTTGTAGACACAAGAACACCACCCGAGCAGATATCACAACTCACAACAGAGCATACAACCCCCAAAAATGGCTAGAAATCATAAACGTTCATTAAAAGTAGGCATTGGTGTAGTTACAAACACATTTTAAACGTGTCAATTGATTCAAATGCCAGAAACTAGGAATCATGATGAATAAGGAATTCCGTATCATTCTTTTACTAGAACTATATCATATCATCAATAGTCTGATCGCAAATAAATCAACTTAAGAATTAAAATTGCAACAGAAAGCAACATTAGACAATGGTGGATCCACTGACCTTAGTCAACTGTGGATTAGTTTCAAGTACACGCCTCAAACCATCATCTGTGATCCTCGGACACTCCACCAAGCTTAGGCATTGGAGACTACCTTGAGATCTGCTAGCCAATTGCAGCAGCACATCATCTGTGATCCTCTCGTTGAGTGGCTGATCAATGTGGATAGTCCTCCACAACAAGGGATCATCTTGGACTGTGGAACACAGAGACCTACAAACCCTTTCAACAGACAGAAGGTCCTTGACTCCCAGATAACTAAGAGCAAAGGCCAAAGCATCATGGGGTACTTCCTCCTCGGCACAACCGTCAGCACCCTCTCCTTTCTCTTTATCTTGCATCTCAGAGCTGCAACCATATTGGACTGATGCACCCCCCATATCTCCCACCTCACTATACAGATTCAACTCATTACCCACATTCAATTTCTCATTGAAATGAGCATTGTCTGGAAACGACTGGATACACCTGTTCAGATTCTTATCTCCCTGAATATTTCTCACAAAAGATTGGATAACCATATTCAATTTCTCATCAAACTGAACATTGCTTGGCAGAGATTGAAATTTTATGGCATTTTTCCATATCAAATTCCACTGCGCAAACCAATCATAGTCATCTTGATGGGATGCACAATTGTTGTTCCTCACATATCCTCCATAATTGACATCTGAATCCTCGAGCCATCCTGTGATGGCTGTGAAAGTAGTTTGTATATCCATCCCAAATGGGTCAGAAGGCAAGAGGTTGGCAACATCATTGGAAGCTGACTCCGGCGAACTACACCTATCAACACTGTCCGTCCCACAACAGAAATTACGCTCCTCAGTTTCCCGTCGGCTCTCATGTTTTGTCATTGTAAAACCTTCCCCATTCTTCACTGGAACACCGTCCACAATATATCCGTTCACAATTCTCGTGGGTGATACCAAACTATCTTCACCAATGTGCGTAGGAAATATTGGCTTATGTGAATAGTTCAAGGCCATCCCAGAAACCCCAAGATTTTGTATATTTTCTCTATATACCCAAATAAAATAATGAAAAACAGTAATATGCTCTACAGCAAAACCCTAGATTTTTTTTTTTTTTTTTTTTCTCTCAAACAAGAAAACCCTCAATTTTTAATGACAAACTAAAACAAAGCACCAAAAATCTCACTGAGTTTTTCTTGCACAGAACCCTAAATATATTTTCAGCTGCAAATATAATCCATCAACGAGAGAAACTCTTTTATACAAAAGAATCAACGAATTTCAATGTAATTAATCATAAAACAAAAATTATATACCTAGGGTTTCAAAATAACCAATTTTAAACTCAAATAATGATAAAATTAGAGGGAAAAAAAAAAGAAATTTAGAGGGAAAAAATAAACCCTAATTTTTGGTCCGTGGAGATCAAAATCGACAGAGATAAAATTGAGTCCTTGTGGAATTTTTGTGTGGAAAGGAATCCGATTTGAAGAGAAAAATAAAATTTCCCTGTCGATCGAGTTCACCACATTGTGTTCCCGGTATATGCGAAGGGAAAAAGGGAATCCGATTTCGATCGAGCGATACGTGTGAGGAAGGGAAGATTATTTTCCCGGTATTTGCGAAGGAAGGAAAATTCGTGGCGGGAGAGTAAAGGGGAAGGAAAACTTCGACTCTAGTTTTAGCCTTGTTTGTGGGCTTCGCTGCTTAACATTGAATTAAATTTCACTTTTGGTCCTTGAAGTAATAAGATTAATTGATAATTCCCAAATGTTTATTATAGTTACATAATCGACCTCCAATAACATAAATCATATAAATTACTTGGAATAGATTCTACCTCTCGACACAAGTTGGTACTTAGAAATTTAAGGTAAACACATTTTAATGAGAATCATGTAATAGTTAACTAAGATTTACTCCTCGTTTGGTTTGAATTAAAATTTTGATAAAAATCAAAGTGAAAGTCGATAATTAATTTTAATTAATATTTCACCAGACTCATAATTTTTATTTGATTTTCAATCATACATTTAATCAATTTTTATCAAAATATACTAAAAGTATGAATTTTTAGTTATACCAAATAGTGGCCTAGACGGCTACCATTTTTCAAGTTTGATTGGTAACCATGGAGGCGAACTTGTTACTTTTTAAAGGTTTAGACCAACTTGATACTGGGCTAATAAATTGGGAGAGTAATTGTGAATTTTTTTCCTTTTGCGTGAAGGAAAAAAAAGGCGGTGCGAATTGGATTTTTGTGGAGCAAATTGATAAACTATCCACATATTCAATTTTAATAACTAGATTTTACTGTGAAGCAAAATATTGAAACCTATGATTGATACTTTAAATTCCTAGAATGAATGAATGAATTACATCATACGAATATTTGCCCAGGTACTAAGATTTGATCTCCAGCTTAAAGTTTTTTATAAGTGTATCAAGAAAAGAGAGATTGAGCTATCAAACTCTCAAGGTTCACCCGAACGAATACCCGAATCGACAACCGATGGGTTTGGATCGGGGCTATACCAAGAACCGAATAAGAACTGAAACTAAATAATTTTTTTTATTTTTTATATTGAATTAATTAAATTATTTCATTTTTTTCTAAACAAATTAGCAAATTAATTAAATAAATTAGATTATTTCATAATTTTAATTTTAAAGCCCAAATCATTTTTAAAATCCATTAGCCCATTTTAATTTGAAGCAAATGAATATACTTTATGTAGTTTTGCTGTAATATTAATATCTACTTTTTTAATTTTAAAGCCCAAATTATTTTTAAAATCCATTAACCCATTTTAATTTGCTCATAACAACATAGTGTTGCTCTAGATATTAAAAAATTTAATTATGGTACGGAACCAAACCATACCGAACGGAAACCCGAACGGTTCCATAATTATATTTGAACCCGACGGTTCCATTTAGCAAACTCGAACAATTTTGTTCTATCTTAAAGAAAATAATTTTTGGAATGATTTTTACAGAGTTTTTGCAAAAGTTTTTAACATAATGCTCAATAAAAATGATATGTGATGCATAATGGACATTCAAATGGTCCTATTTATAAAAGATGAGAGCTTGTGAATGAAGTGTCATACCCCAAACTCAACAACATTCACGAAGGGAATCATCCCTTGCTGCCGCTAGCTAATCGCTCAAGCGACGATAACACCTGTTCAACATAGACTTCTTCGCCCTCTTGTTGCTCATGCGCTAAGCAAGCAATGGAGCTAGACAACTTTTCGGTCCAACTTTGGATCGCAATTTCCTATTCACCCGAAATTGATTTTGAGATCTCAAATATACCAGAAGATCTACTCGACAAGTAGAACAAGTTAGTCTATTTATATTTATAATTTGACTATTGGATCGAATTCGAATATTTAGTCGAACTTGACACAAAGTTACTTTTCAAGTTTTATACATAATCAAATTTTCAATTTTTAAACCAAATTCCAACAATCCCCCATATGAATGAAATTCAAATATTTTCATACTATACGAAAATATGATGTATTGTAGAAAGAAAGAAAGAGCAAAAAAATACTGCTTCAAATAAGGTAGCTTCTGGCCTTAAACTTTCCTCAGTGAAATACTATCAGATTTACTTGATTGATTGGTGAATGTATGCCTTGAACTATTCAACTGTTGATGTAAACCAAGACAATAATACTCACACAAATGTCTTTTCTAAATCGTCCATGGTTCTCATGATTTGGTTCATTTTGGCCATAAACCACTCTTGAATTTTATAAGTGTTTTCGAAAATTTCAACATTGAATAATTTTAATTGAGGCGGCCGCACCTTACACTTACATATAAAACTTCTTATTAAAAGTATTCTGCCTTACTCCACTTGACTTAATCAAGATATAGTAATCATTAAAAGGATATTTTATTCTTAAAATT